ATTTTTTTTTCTCGATTAGACCAAAATACGGTCATAAAAACGGCGCAGATACAACTTTTCGGGTATATGGTATAATTAAGGGCATATGTAACGGAAGAGGATAGAACAAAATTTATTCAAACTGCAAGTGGGTATAACCCGGTGAAAGCTAATTACATAAATATGATAATACATAACATCAAAATTATACAGTAATAATAATAATAATAATAATAATAATAATAATAATAATAATAATAATAATAATCCCAGATCTGAGAAACCACGGAAAACTATCGATCAGAGTAACCGGTCTAGAGAATTTCTCCTAGATTCAGTGACAGAACTCGACCTAGCTATCTGGCTAGTGTCGAATATCCTGCCACCGTTGGGACTCTAACCCCGGGAACCTCTCGTCAGAGGCACTGCAGTGTCTCCAGTTGATGCCCTGAGACACCTATGCTATTCGGAAGAAGAGAATAATCGTCAATCGCCAATGTACAATCAATATCAAAAAGCTATTCACTTTTATAAAGGTTTTAATTAAACTTGCGAAAAGCCCCCTTCGAATCGAAAAATCATTCATATAAATACTACTTCTTTAACAAAACGTTTTCAAGTATACTTTCTATCAATGATAGTTTTCATGCAATCAACCTTTGGTTTCTGGAATGACAAAATAATTGAGACTACTACAGCCTCATCACAATTTAGGTTATGTTCGTGAATTGTATGCGAATTATTTCTACATCCGACTCTCAATATGATCTGACAAAATTGAATACTAAAATAATCGCTCACGTGGCTGAATCGAGTTTACGCATTAAGCAATATGAAGCGTTTTGGCGATCTCCATTCTCTCACTCGATCAAGCTGGTATCAAAAACACGAACTTCTCTTTAAAACATATCCCCTCTGACCCCTTACCTAGAGATAAATCAAAGGACGTAATTCGGTAAACTGCGGAGAACGGAGATCGCCAAAACGCTTCATATTGCTTAATGCGTAAAATCCCTCCCCCGGCCATCACTGAATTCGATCTTAAATCAGATATCAGTAAAATATTGTAAAATAAAATCACTGAATTCGAACTTAAAGCAGATATCAGTAAAATATGTTACGAAGGTCGAATTCAGTGATGACCGGGGGAGGGGGGGGTCAATCTCTCGAAACTTACGCCACCGTCGTGTCCTCTCCTGTGGCTCGACAGCCCGCTATGGCTCTTGGCTACCGGCCTCTTAGCTCTGGGCTAAGGGGTTCGAGTGGTTAGAACGGAGACATACCTTCACCATATATTCTTATCTTCATAATCTTAGGGTAAATTTACAATCGCCACAGGGCAGTAGATACTGCGCTATTTGCGAGGAAAGCGCTCAGTTATAATTAAAGGCTTTTTAATCGTCACAGAACAATTGATCCTGGGACATTTGTAACGAAGGTTCTCAGTTATTATTTTGGCCCGGCCGGGAATCGAACTCGGAATTGCGCTGTAGAAAAACAATATGCTAACCAACGAGCCACCGATGGCAGTCATTCTTAGGCTACTACTCATTTAAAAATTAGTGTTTTCTAATTGTGATTTTCGTAAAATTTTATGCCGAATTTGCAAGAACTAATTGTTGTAAAAAGAAACATCATTGTCCATATCAGTGTTTTTCATTACTGTTTCTACATTAATCATATCTCTCTCTCCCTTCAAAAAATCCGGGTATAATCTTCATCATAATCACTCTAGGCGGCTTGTTGATTTACCAAAGATTTCCTGACCATTTGAGAAATTACTTATACTAATTTTACGTTACCATTATTAATTCGAAGAGAAGTATCTATGTGCAAAGTTGCGGCACAACTATTTAATTTATATTCAAGTTCAAATTACCACTGTACGCAACTAAAAAACCAAAAATGCGTTTTGTAGTTTCATTGAATTATAGTATTACATACTCTTCCATTAAAACAAATCAGCGGAATCTCTCATAAATGAGGAATTGCTTTACATAAAAATATCCATGAAAAAAGGTACACATTTCAAGTTTAGTATGTATTTTATTGTAATCACATAAATAAAATATAATAATTTAATCTTTTGAAGGATATTTTTTCATGTCATATTTCTGATTTTATAAATGTCAGCTCTGTATTTTCCTGGAAAAAAATATTGCAATAAAAAGCCACTCCCGTGTGAAAATTACAACACATAGTTGAAATGTTATACCCAACTCTATGACTTAGTAATGTTCTTCTTCAGCTGCATCTTTCGTTTTTTGCGTAACCATCTGTGTATTAAAGGGTGCACACATCTGGGTCAATTTCTTTAGGGTCATTTGCCCGTCAGAAAACTCACGATAAGCCCAACTAGTATGTTGTTGGACTACCAATGACTGTATACCACAGGTATGACATCTTGTAGAGAGGGAATGGATCTCCGCTGGAATTTAAAAAAAAAGTATAGAAATCGTAAAGCTAGACGTAGGCTTCCGCGCTCGAGTTCATGACTCTAGGCTGTCGGGTGACGCCGCGTCCTTGGCAGAGAGGCCGACGTTTCCCTGTCATATCGCAGGCTTCTTTGAATTGAATTGAATTGAATTGAATTGACCTATTTTAACGTGGCGAGACTCGGCCATCAGGCCGCTCTTCCGTCTGACACCGCAATTTCGCTACGCTCCTTTCACCAACTAGGAGAGAAGGAGGTATTTGGCGAGAAACAGGCGATTGAATTAGCTCAGAGGCGTCATTTAGCTTGAGGATCTTTTACATGCAGATAAATCTACGAACATGGACGGCCGGCTTTACTTCCCCTCCGAAGGAAGCTACGAGGCTCTTCAGGGTAGTCCACTACTACCGGACAGCCTAGAAGTCAATCGTAATGCTAGTTCACGCGCTCACATACACAATCCATGCGTCCAAGAAATGAGGTCAGTGAGGGTATTGATGGCGCAAAGAAGTTGGAATTACCGAGCTTCAAAGCAAGATGAAGCAAATTTTGCCTTGCACTTTAACTCAAGCAAAATATTCAGCCAGCTGCTAACGATTCTGACAGATGTGTAGTTTTTCCAAAGCGATGTCTTACTATCAGTAGGCCACTATGCAACGAACGCACGATGTATACACAGTCCTTCCCATGATGTACAATGCGCAACTCGCGCATGATTTTGGTAAAAATTAGGTTTTTCGTTAGCACCCATTTGACTCTTGGTTTCTTAGGTGCGATTTTATACTTGCATTCGCGACATTCAGTAGCACAGAACTGAAAAATGTTAATGATTTCTGGGACATCCAGAGAATTGATTGTTATTCGTGTACTCTATTTCAGGACGTCTTTGGAACATTTTAAGTGGGAATAAAAAAGACAGGATTCACTTCCCACGGTCATTTTTGATTTTTTTGGGGGGAGGGTGCAAAATGTCATTGATCAGTAGCAGTGGGGGGGAGGACTGGTGGGGTTTCACCAAAATCCAATAATGCTAAAAAATACAGATTTCTGTACCAAAGGCAGGCATCCAATGTATCAATTGTTAATATTGAATATTAAATTTATACCAATAAATAAAAATACATTTTATATTCAATAATAAATGAAAAATTATTTGTAAGAAAACATCAAGTCGGCTGGATACTCTACCTGAAGCCCCCCTTCACCCTTCCGATAAAAAATCAAGGGTGTGCTTTTGCTCTTGGTAGATTTTAGGTGTATTATTAGTTGATTTTTAAAGCGAAAGAATTCGTACCTAAACCGAAGGCTTTGTCCGTCCGTCAATCAACATCTACTGGAACAAAATTTTATTAAAAAGAGTCGTACCGAGGTCTCCTAAATCTCAGGGAAGCAACAACTGCGGTAAGAAATGCCGATTCATCGATATTTCGCCCGGTAACGAATGCCTAACTTTTCAGTAGTAAATGCAGAGCAGAGATGTCAAACCTTCCCATTAGCTTATTCGTAAAATGGAAATTCTTTCGCGACAATCGATGAGTCAGTTTAGAGACGCTGAAAAGCGCACTCTTTGAAACACACTGCATGTGTGACTTTTTTTTTATCATTGTCAGTGCATGTGTACGTGCTAGAATGTTTTGCACATCAGAGGTGAATGTTTACTAAGGCATAATTTGAAATTCCACGTACGTTATTACTGTTTGAACTGATGTTGCTGCAGTATAATTTAACAAATTCACTTCACAGCCTTCCACTGAAATAGGTTTTTTTGGAAATGTTATCTGTCCTGAAGCAATTGCAGTCTGCGCGCCAAGAGATATCCAGGCAACCAGTCCAAAACCTGTGATACCACCAACAAGAGCGCCCTGTATACGAAGCAGATAATATAATTGATTATACAAAAATTCAATTTGTAAAAATAAATGCAGAGGCTAACGCACTTTTGAATTAGCCCACGGGAAAAACATCCCAAGTGTGAATAAGCCAAGCAATGATCCAGCAGTGATTCCAGCTAAACTTTTACCAGCCTGCAACAAATCATTTTTTACGAAATTAATACTATGGAAAATATGCATTTATGAAAAGACAATTTAAAACTTTCACTAACTTGAATTAATGTTCCCATTTTCTCAACAAGAAAAACAGCTCCAACGCATATTGAACCAATAATAACAACAATTATTTTCATTATAAAGCTGGCTTTAGCTTCTGAAATTGAAGTCTTTAGATGTGGACGGATGAGATCTTGGAAAATAACTCCAGTCATTGAATTGAGACCTGTTGACATTGAGCTGAAGGAGAAAAGTGATATTTATTTAGTTAGTTAAATAGTTGAAAGTTTCAGGGAAAAACTTGTTAGTAACCACACAGAATTATTGTTACCTGAGTGCAGCGCTAAAGACACCCGATACAAATAATCCAGGCAATCCTGGAATGTTTTCTGTGATCTCCATTACAAAATATGGCAAAAGTTGGTCAGCTTTTCCAATCATCTGTATATATTTTATCACCGTCATTCTCAAATAAATTACACAATTTTAAAATTCAATTCAGAAAGTCAATTTAATTTTCACTTCATATCTCAACTTACCTTTGTAGAAATAGGATCACAATTATAGAACATTGCGTAAATTACAAGACCTGTATAACAGCTCATGCTTACCAAACTAAAAATACCTAGAGCTAATATTAGTACAGTTCTGGAAAAAGAAAAGAAAAAAATCATTAGCTCAGGGATAATTCCTTATAGGAATAATTTCCGTAATAATATTTCTATAGGAATAATTCCTGTAGAATTGACATCAAATCAATCATAATTCTTCAAGAATAATTGCTGAAAAATTATGACATGGTCAAAACACATAAGTATTATCAGTGTTCTGATCATGTCATAATTCTACTCCGCTTTGGTTAATTTGGGTAAACTTCCTGCGTTGTCTTAACTAAGATGATGATCATTGCGTGTGATTCATTAATGAATTTATTTTCTTGTATTAAGAAAACTATGTAATGTTTATTCTGTATTAGATAACCAACCAAATTATATTTAAACTGCATCAGTTATTACAGTATATCTGTAGTTAATAGTGGTGCTACAACAGCACATACTTTCTCACAATATTACAATGTTATCGTTATGTACGACGGAACGCACATATATGTTTCATAAATTTTAAACATTAATTATGCACAACCTACTAGCATTTATGAAAAAAAATGTACATAGCCTTTTTAAAGAAATTATTTTGTACAACAGACTTTGTCTGGGTTAAAATTACTATCTTTAAGTTTGTAGTTTTATATTTGCTTTTTCAATTTTCGAGGAAAACGAAAAATGTCCGAAAATGGCATTATCATCATATTTTTTCGTTATTTTTTTAAAATTTGGAGCGTTTTTTTAAATCGTAAACTTTAAGCGCAAATTAAGCAAAAACTACACCTTTTTTACAAAAAATAGAACATTTTTTACGATTACTTTTTTTACAGTCTTGGAGTAAAGATTACAGTCTTTGTCAGAGGTAAAAATCTCTTTTTTTCAATTTTGTAGTTTTAAAAAATGATATTTTAAAAAAAACTGAACAATACCCCCCAAATTGAGACTAGTACCAATTTTTTTACCGTCCCTTATTTCATAAGTGGAGAAAATGTAAAGAAAACAGTTGGAGCTGTCTTTGAGAAAAAACATCGGGTAAATTTGAAACGCAAATTATGCAAAAACTACTAGTTTTTTAAAAAATATATGCGTGACCTTTTTTAAAAAGATAATTGTATATAACAGACTTTGTCTGAGGCAAAAATCTTTCTTCAATTCTGTAGTTTAAGTTTTTTGTTTTGTTTTTTTTTTTGTTTTTTTTTGCAATTTTCGAAAAATCAGGGGATTTAACGAAAATGAGGCCTGCACTATTCTCTTAAACGTTCTTCACACTATTTAACATCAAAATTTTATCAAAAAATTTGGAGCCATATTTTGAAACTGTTCAAGAAGTTTCATGTAAAGTACCTCCCCTAAATTAAAATATCGGTTTTAAATTCCAGGGGCCGCGACATCAGCTAAAACGATTGGGGAATATCAATTTTGGAAAAATTCATCTGAACGGTTTATGTGCTAGGGTTGGGCACAAGCGGACCGTTGGACGTTTTGACTTCAATTGATTTTTCGGTATCAAGAACGTCCAAATCATGGATTCTGGATACATCATCTGTTAGGGGAATTTTATCTATGTTTAGCTACAGGATTAATCCACTTTTTCGTTACCAGGTCCCGGCAATGAGGGTTTTTGTGTCGAAAATTCGTCGTTTTCAGGCGTAGAAATAGTACTGTCAGTACTGTGCTAGTTTAAGTACCGTAAATGTCACGTTTAGGAGCAGTCAAAGGAATTTCGTGATACTGTCAAACACCTAATTATAGTGAGCTGCCTACCAACCAGGGACAAATGTCACTTATGTAACTAAGTTTAATGAACTTTCACATCAAAATTTTTGGGGGCAAAAAATCATCTTTTGCTATCTTTATGCTCTAGTATTTTCTAACGTTTAGTTTGGCGCACACACACACACACACACACGCAATACCCTATCACACATTTCGGGGGACTAGTCGGGAGCCCAGTTTGTCGGGACTGGCGTGGTGCCCCGCTGGTGGAGACACGTGGAAAGGGAAACCCCCCTACAAGCCTACAGGTCGGCGCCGAATCACCCCCCCCCAAGTGGGAATGAAATCACCGCCACTTCCCGGATAAACATTCACAATGTGCCTACACCTAGATTTTCCTATAGTGGCCGATGACATTAGGTCATTGTCATATCTTCTGCCTTGAATCCTTTCGCAAACGTCCTTCTCAACGGGGCTAGTGGCCTCATAAATGTGCTTACCACAGTTAAAAAGATTCGTTTCATAAGACAGGAGGTATAACAATTACCTAACGTAGCTACTATAGAAAAATCGAAGTATAACGTCCAACGCAGTTGACGGGCCCTGGAACATCAATCAATATGTTCTCTACATTGCCTACACGTATGACGAATGTGACACGTGACGGAATTTAAAATTCGCTTTTCAAACTTTCCGACGGCGTGCTCTGAGCGGGTCGCCATTGCGAGAGAAGAGGGTAACGTTAAAAAAGAGGCGCCAGAAACAGGGACGTCCGCTGACGGATGGAGGACTCTGGCTCCTCTCTCGGGGGTGAACTACGGAAGGAAGACTACCTCGATCGGAAGACGACTAGACTTACTGGACACGCGTTTGACGGTAGGCGACGAATAGAATCGCAATTCATCGGCGCCAGGAAATATTTTTTTTTACCTTGTGAATGCCTAATAAGCAAATAAAGGAGACATCAGGCCAGCTCGGACAATGTTGTTCGCCTGGCCGCCGTCCGCGACAGGGAAACACGAGATTTGGCGGCGACAGCGGTGAGGCCCACTGGGACAAAGTCACACTCGTTTTGGCGATCGTAAAATACCTCTTCTTCTGTTTATTTATTTTGCCAATATTAGTTTTTCTTCTTTCCAGTGTGTTCCTAGACGTAACTCGGGCTAATTTTTGCCTCAAATAAAGCATAAAAATGTACTTAGAAGTATGCTTGTGAAATTGTAAATTATTAGATCACAGAAATGAAAGTATAAGTAATTACTTTCTCGCATACTATACATGTAGTGCAGGAAAAGTGATGTAATGTTGCAGTGAAAAACGGCGATTTTTCGGTAGAAATTTTTGTATAGTACTGTGACGTCATGGATACTCACAGCGACCACAGACACAGAGCTTTCATATAACAAATATAAATATATATATAAACAAGAAAAAACAATGTATACAAACTTATATTAATTACACGCTACTCTGATAGACTACTATCACAAACCAATACGCGGGAGCGATCCCATAATAACCCATTGAAGATGGTTTTGATTGAGTGAGCAATTCGCACTCACCTACTTTTTGAAGACGCGCACAAAGGCCTAGCTCCGTGCACGGATGTCACGCTGGGACAAATAATCGATATTGGGCACCACGGCTGGTTTGCTCGATCGCAGGAGAGACTTTCATCGATATGAGAATCGGCGTGAATGTGGCACTCAACCACTCTTCACTCAGGACACAAACGCACAACATCACGCTCCCCCGATCGACCGAGTCACCAAGGAACTAAAGTCCGCAGGCTTCGTCAACTAGTGACTCGAGCCTCGCGAGCCTGGCTCGCATATGACACTTCGTGGCGCCAAGTTTTGTGCACACGCACGACGGTTTCGCGCATGTCTCCAAGACACCCCCCAGATCGGCTCTGTACACTATGTTTATATAGGCGAGGCACAGTGACTACTACGTCACGCACACTCGCTTGTTATAACAGTGAAAAAGTTCTATAAAGCTGGAATCCAGCGCTTGTGGTTCTTCACGTTTCGCGTTCTTACCTTTTAGGAAAAACCCATTTCAGTGGCTAGCTAAATCCTCTCCCAAGCGTCCCCAAATAGATGCCACGAGGCACGCTGGCTAATACGTTACAATACATCTCTGATACAGAAAAATGGATAATTCTTGTTCCTATATGTAGTAAATTACTTCCTCTATCACGTTGTTTTTCTCAGACTCCTTCAGGAAAATGGGGAGTTTAGGTTCTAGCTGCGCATCTCGTTTACAAATTTAGTTTAGAGAAGTGCTATTCTATCAAACATACACGAGTCGCTACCTTTTCATTTCGAAAATGGGTCGAAGTAAATATAAGGTGCTACATTATAATAAAATGAAATTTATGAAACATTACGATCTACATGCCCTTTCAGCGGATGTGAAAAGTGCCAACGAATTTCGAGTCATTGTGCTATTCGAGTACTATCCATACTTAGAAGTGATCCCTTCCGAATATTTTTATAAACAGTAGGCTTTTTAAATATTTATTTAAGAAAAATGTTGAAATAATTTATTACGAATTGTTTGAATTATTATTTTTTCAATGTATTAAATATTTATAAATATATGGTTATTTAAAATATAAATAAATTATTACTTTTTTATCATGTTTAAAAAAATGTTTGCAGCTTCCTGAGATAAATTTAGATTTTAATAATTGAATTTCAATATTCAGGGTATACGTTTAAAACACTATTTGCTGTCCCTAATGATTTTAATGTTAAGATTTTATCAAGTGTATTTTTAATGTATTTGCTTGCAAGTTCATTAAAACATCATGCCATTTCTTGCCATACAACTCAGGCCCATCACATGATAGGCTTAGTGGCAGAAGAAAACACTTGAATTGGGGAGCTAGATAATATTTGGGCTTAGCTTTTACCTAAATAAAAACTTGAAGATCCACAAACCTTTAGTGGCTATTACATATGATGGGATGTTGGGGCAGTGCATGCAGCAAAAGCAAACATATTTATTGTGAGAGCTATGTTCTTTGCTATTTATATTATTGCTTTGTTGTCCTGGGTTGTTTATATAATTGCAAACATTTTAAATATTCTACATACGTTTGTAAGTGACACATCTCAGAATGACAGGGGAATGTTTAGATCAAGAGAGTCTTACTTACAAGGCCTCAAGGGCCACAGCAAAAGCCTTCAGTGCGGTTACTGGCCCAATTTACATTACTTGGGCAATCGCGATCTAATGTTGATCTCGTTTTGCCCAGGTGCTCTGAAAGGGATGGGATGAAACCATGCGAGATATCAGGCTGTACCACGCATAACGTAG